GTGTTTGGATCCTGACTCTGATACATCCTATCTAGGTGACCTTGAATAGATCATTTACCCCCTTAACATTCCCTTTCCTGATCTGTACAATGGGGCTGGAAGAGAGTGTCTCTAAGGTCCCATCCTGCTCTATTGTTTTGCAATTCTAAAGTTCTGATGAATCTGAAGTTAGACACGGAAACTATGTTAACCATCATAAAAGAATGAGATGAAGGCAACAAGAGATAGTAGAAAGAACAAAGGATTTGGAAGAGGAAGACCTGTATCTACATATCTTAAACTCAGATTTAGAGCTGGAAGAAGGCATCTGAGAGGTCATTGAGTCTTTCTTTGAGAGAAGAGGAAACTGAGGCACAGAGAGCTTCAATAATTTGTCCAAGGTCACCTAATCACTACGGGGAAATGCTTGGATTGGAATATTGGGTCTGGGCGGAGCCAAGATGGCAGAGTGAAAGCAGTGACTTGCTTGAGCTCTCCCCCAAACCCCTCCAAATACCTGTAAAAAATGGTTTTAAACAAATTCTAGAGCAGCAGAACCCACAAAAGGACAGAGTGAAACAAATTTCCAGCCCAAGACAACCTGGATGGTTGATTGGAAAGGTGTATTGTGCCGGGCTGGAAGAGGAGCGCAGTTCAGCGTGGGCTATGCAGGCAAAGAATAGGTCTCAGTGAACCTGGAGCAGCCCCCAGAGGACTGAATCACAGACAGCTGTGGCAGTTTCCAGACTTCTCGATCCACAAATGTCAAAGACAACTTAGAAGGTCAGTCAGAAAGGTCTGTGACTGAGGTGAGAGAGAAGCTTGGTCCCAGCCCTAGTTCCAGCCATAGCCCCAGGGTGGCAGCTGCTTCCTGAGCTCTTGGCCCACAGACAGAAGGGGGATTGAGTGGCTGATCAGAGTGTGATTGCAGGGATCTTTTTCCTGGTGCTGAGGCAGGAATCTCTAGCTTTGCCTGTGCTTGGCTCTAGGTTGCAGTCCTGGGTGGTGGGCCTGGGTCGACAAGGAGTGCTAGTGTGATGGAGCTTATAGTGGTGGTGAACGGAGAATCCTCCTCACAGTTCCAAGGCAGAAAAGAGTGCTTGTGATCACTCATAGACCAGAGCCCAGGCCAGGAAAGGAGTAAACACCTCGCTCCTTATCATACCACCTTGGAAGAACTGAAAATTTACAGATACTTAGAAATATCTCTGAAAACAGCTGCACAAAACCCCTGAAGCTTGGGATAGTACATTCTCCACACTGGAAGCAGACCCCTACCTTAACAAAGAGTTTAAAACTCAAGTAATTGGCTGGGAACGTGAGCAAACAGCTCAAAAAAGGTCAGACCATAGGATTTTTCTTTTCTGAAAAAGAAGATCAAAACATACAACCATGAGGCAGCGAGGTGGCACAGGGATAGAGCACTGGCCCTGGAGTCAGGAAGACCTGAGTTCAAATCCAACCACAGACACATAACACTCACTAGCTGTGTGACTCTGGGCAAGTCACTTAACCCCAATTGTCTAAGGGAAAAAAAAAGCACTACTATTGGGGCAGCTAGGTGGCACAATGGATAGAGTACTGGCCCTGAAGTCAGGAGGACCTGAGTTAAAATCTGGCCTCAGACCAAACACTTGACACTTACTAGATGTGTGACCCTGGGCAAGTCACTTAACCCCATTGCCTAACCAAAAAAACCCAAAACAAACAAACAAACAAAACCCACATACAACCAGAAGAAGACAACAAAGTCAAAGCTCTTACATCTAAAGCCTCCAAGAAAAATATGAATTGGTCCCAGGCCATGGAAGAGCTCAAAAAGTATTTTGAGAAGCAAGTAAGAGAAGTAGAGGAAAAACTGGGAAAAGAAATGAGAGTAATGCAGGAAAATCATGAAAAATAAGTCAACAGTTGGCTAAAGGAGACCCCCCCCAAAAAAAAAAAACACTGAAGAAAATAACACCTTAAAAAATAGACTAACCCAAACGACAAAAGAGGTCCAAAAAGCCAATGAGGAGTACTGAGTCTGCTTCTACCTATCTGTGTCACCTTGGAAACAGAGTCTAACCTTTCTCCTCTACTTTGAAAAATGAGGAGGTTGAAATATAGACACACATATATATGTATACATACATATAAAATACATAAATGGTATAATCAAGTACATAAATATAATTCTATATAATTATTATATGGAATAAGATATATGTGTATGTATGTATATGTATACATACATACAATCCTTATATATGATATATAATCCTTAGTGTAAACTTCTGGCTCCTAGTCCTAAAATCTGACTCTGTTGTTCACTTGACCACAAGGGGGTGCTAGGCAAAAAGGATGATGAGAAGCAAAGGGTATGTTGACCCTATGACCTTGGTTGTACCAGTGGCCACCTGAATAGGGATTCCTGTTCCTATCTCTATAAGTTAGTATCTGCGCCATCAACCTTGACTAGGTCTCTAAATTCCAGCACACAGCTCTATGGATAATTTATGTCTATCCCATTCATTCATTGACTTTCTCATCAAACATTGATTATGATATTCCTTAAGCACAGATCTGATCATGTCACTTCCCCGCTCCAAAAGCTCCAGAGCCTCCCAGTTGTTTCTAAGATAAAACACAAACTCTCTGCTGAGCATGCAAAGCCCTCCCTGCTCTGGTGCCAGCTGACCTTCGTACTCCCCTTAGACACTCACCACTCCTGCCAGATGAGCTTGCCTGCTTTTTTTTATCTCCCCTCCACTCTATCTCCCATTTTGTGACTTTCCAATTGGCTGGCTAAGCCATACTGGGCTTGGTATTAGTGGTAAGGGTTCTGGTTTTAGAGTAAGAGTCCTGATGTCTAAGGTTTTGTTCCTGGGTTGGATCACCTAGAGGTGAGGGCCTGGTATCTAAGGCTTTGGTCCTGGAGGTAAGAATATGGATGTCTGAAACTCTGGTCCCAGAGGTAAGGATGTGATATCTGCCCCTTTCTCCTTCAATCTGATTGCCTATTATCTAAAGCCTTGGAGGTGAGGAAACTGGTTTTTGAGATTTAAATGCTAGAGGTGAAAGTATCATGCCTCAAGCTCTGCTTCTGATTTTGAAAGGTCTAATGCCTAAAACTGATCCTGAGCTGTCTCAGGAAATAGGAAAGCCTATTTTGATACAGCTCACATGGAGGCCAGAATAGACTTCTCTAACATCTCCTCCTTCCCACTTTCCCCAAGGGAAACTTCTATTCCTTCCAGGAGGGGAAACAGATGGTTGGGAGCAGAAACTGGTCACTCTGCTCTCCTCATTGAGAAGGTGTACTTTGCTAGGATTATATCAGTCTGCTCCCTTAAATATTGTTAGTCTAGGAAACCAAGTTTTAGGTTCAAGCTAAACATCTGATTGTTATTCATTAAGGGGTAAAAGGGGTCCCCAAACTTTATATCCAAGGCTTGCCCTTTTCCTACCAGATACCAGTTTCACAATGGACACACATAGCAAAGAAACCCATTCATTCAAGTCTATAGCAAAAAAAAAAAATCATAAAAATCACAATATGAGCATATGTACCAGACAGTACACAGATTGAAAGAGCTCTCCCTTTGGGAATGAGTTAACTCAGCTCAACCAAGAGAGAGGGAGTCTCAGAGCTGACCAGAAGAGGAAAAACATCCCCCAAATTTCTAGTGTGGCAAGCTGAGTAAGGAGGAGACTGCCAGCTCCTCACACGTTGGCTTCTTGCCAGAATTATTCTCTCTCTTCAATGACCTGAAGAATGGTTAGCATCACATGTATCCCTTAAAGCTGGAAGTCAGAAGAACCCTCTGCCCTCTCTCATTCTCATCTTCTCTACCCTGCCCCCTCATGCAGGTGCAGAGCATTGATCTCCACTAATGAGGGAGAATCCCATACCGATGGACTTGGAGCTCAGGTTACATTAGCAATATTGTATCAAGGCAAGGAAGAGTAGCTGTATACTCTAGGATGGTCAGTTTGGGGATGGAGGGCAGCCACTTAGGGTCCACAAACATATACCTTGGGCTCCCCGACAATGACTCATTTCATTAGCAGTCACTGGCATCCTTTCAATATGGATTTTCATCTGCTCTTTGGGTCAACTACAATTTTGACCTTTTTTTTGGGGGGGAAGGGGGTAGGGAGGAGCAGATTGTGCTTTTACAAGATCCACTGCATCCCAGTACCCCCGGGAGAATATTTTTGACGAAATACCATAAAATGGTGATAAAATGGTGCTTGTTTGGTTGTTGTTAGTCGTGGGTTGTTGTTTTGTTTGTTTCTTTGTGTAAGTAGCTTGCAGTCATTCAAAACCTTACAATTTCTTAAGTACAATCCAGCCCATTTTCCTTCCTCTATTCAGTTACGGTCCCTAGTCATTGTCCATCTCAGGAGCTGTCCCAGGTACATGCATCACTGGACAGTGGGCTACCTACTGAGCTGTGTGCCATAAAATTGATGATGAGGAATTCTTCCTTTCCTATATGGATGGTTAGGCTGATTCTCTTTGGAGTGGTTGTAAGTATTGCTAAAGAGGTCTTCAGTATTCTGGGGCTTGATGCAAACAGCACCATGTTATCCACGAAGAGGAGCATCTGGAGGTCTACACCATCCCCAGGGATTTCACCTCTTATTTGTATTCTGCACTGCATATCCTCCATGGCAAAGGTGAATGCCCTGGGCCAGCACCCATCTTCTTATTTTATGCCATGCTTGATTTTAACAGTGAAAAGATCATGAGGAAGGGGGGAACCAGTTTCAAAGTTTAGACCTGCAAATGCCACGTTTACCTTTGTCCCAGAATATATAAGGAGCAAACCTAGAAACTGAGCATTCTGCTCAGAAAACCCTTCTAAGAGGAAGGCAGGAGAGTCAGCACAAGCAGAGATCTGTGACACCACTGGGAATGGGAAATGCCAAGGACCATGGTCTATTAGTCCTGACTGCCACCCTTTCCCTTGAATAGACTCCTTTTCAAGAATATTTAACTCCTTGGCTAACACTATCTGGATTTGTCCTCACAGATGGCATCAAATGATGACTTTGGCTCATATTATCCCTGCAATCCTCGACCTGGGGATCTGATTGAAGTATTTCGTCCAGGTTACCAGCACTGGACTTTATATCTGGGTGATGGCTATGTCATCAACATGGCCCCAACAGGTAAGAGTCTTGCCCAATTGTTTCTTTTTGAAAGATATATTTTCACTGTTATCTTTTGTTTTTCTAATACCTAATACTAATTTCCCATTGTGTCTGTCCACCTCACCTTGACTCAGAAAGACATCCTTTATAATAAAAAAGGTGGGAAACAAAGGAAAAAAGAGCACCAAAATGAACCAACGTGTCAAAAAAAAGTCTGATGTCATATGTACTGCATATAGATACTGCAAAGAAGCAGGAGAGATGTCTTCTCATGTTTCTTTGGAGTCAAACTTGTTCATTCTAATTTTATAGCATTCAGTTTTTTGTTTTTGTTTTTGTTTTGTTTTGTTTTGGTGAGGCAATTGGGGTTAAGTGACTTGCCTAGGGTCACACAGCTAGCGAGTGTCAAGTGTCTAGTCTGAGACCAGAGTTGAACTCAGGTCCTCCTGACTCCAGGATCAAAGCTCTATCCCCTGCTTCACCTCACTGCTCCCAACATTCACTTTTGATTGTGTTGCTGCTCTTGACTCTGTCTTGCCAACGTTATCTACATTGCTTTTCCTGGTTCTGCTTACTTCACATGACATCAGTTCATACAAGTCTTTCCATGATTCTTTGTGTTTATCATAGTTCTTATAGCACAGTATTAGTCTATTGTATCCTCATAGCACAATTTGCTTTAGCTAATTGATTATCTATTTCCCCCGAGTTACATAGGATTATGACTTTAGAGATCAAATGGATTTTAGAGGTCATCTAGTCCAACCTCTTCATTTTACAGATGAAGAAACTGAGGCATAGAAAGGTTACATGACTTTCTTAAGTTTGCGTAAGAAGTAAATGGCACAGTCGGGATTTGAACTCAAGTCTTTGACTCTAACCAAATCTAGCACTCCACTGCCTCCCACCACTTTCCTTTGTATGTGCTTTTCCTAGTACAATAGGAAGAGAAATACCATTAGCTCCCACCTGAAGCTTCTCTTTGAAAAATTGAAGGCATATTAAGGGGTGGAGGGTGGGGGAGA